ATAATTTAAATATATATATATATATATATATATATATATATATATTTTTAGAATATAATTTTTATTTTTTAAAATATATTATTTTTTTAATAAAAAAATTTGTATATGCAAAATGGTAGTGGGGGCAAGTGCCCCCACTCTCTTGTATGTAAATCCGTCTCTGTCTATATGTATTGACTAACGTGATGCATATATATTATGTATGATGAGGTGTAGATGCTGAGAATGCAGTATAACGATAAAGCATGTTGGTTAACTTAGGACTTGAAGAGAGAAAATTGTTTTGACAAAAAAAAATCTCACATAAAAAATCTTGGAGTGGTGCTCGGGTAGGCCACTAATGAAAAATCCTCCTTGAGAAGGTGTGTCTCTTGTAGTGGGTTTTGAGGTGTGTTGATGTTTCCTCTAGGTTCTTAGTTAGTGGTTGAGTAAGATCAAATATCGAGAGTTACAATCCTTAACCAAGTACCTGGAAAGGTTGTGTAATTCCTTGAGGATGGTTAGTGAGCTAACTTCACATGTGACTAGATAATGCATGTCAAGGTTGTGGTATGTCTATACCCAGTTGTACCATTCCTAACGGTTAAACCGAATTTTCTTAGTATAAGTGACGATACCTGAGAAATCAACAATTAGGGATTGGTATCCCATTTTAGTTATGATTGAGTGACCATATTTTGGCCTGAAAATGATTAGGTTGGTTCGGTAGGATCAAACCACTTAGATTACTTTGATATGATAGGAGATCTTCGTAGGTGAATATGTGACGATGCATTAATTAAGACATATGTATATGATGTGTTGTTGATTGGTGTTCATATGCATTGGATGAATATATTATTGTATAATATGTCTTGGTGTGTGGTTCTCAAACACCGGTGTTGGGTTGTGTTAGTGAATGTTGTAAACTATGGTGTATTTTTGGTTTGTTTGCATGTTGAATAGTGATATAGATGTTTTTTCTTATACTATTGTGTTTTTGAAATCTAAATTGTCCTAATTTTTCATGTAATTTGGATTGTAATGATCATGATTTTTATGGGAGCGGGACAAGATTAGTCATAGTAGAATTCATGGAGATATTGTTGGGGCATTTTGGTAATGTAGTCTTAGACTACTTTTTATGGTCTATACAGTAGTGTTTGACCAACTCTTATGAATATATATTGTTTTATATTATATGATTATATATATATATATATATATTGTATATATTTATAGAATTATTCTTAGTTGCACTTATGATTATCATAATGTGCATATCTATGTAGAGTGAGTATAAAATCTTAGGCATGTGAATAGTTTTACTGCTAATTTATGATTCCACAAAATATAATAACCATGACAGATTGTTATAATAATTATAAATATAATTTATATATCCAATCATAATATTTGTATATATATATATATATATATATATATATAATATTTTATAAATTTTAAAAATTTGATTATATTATATATAATAAATATATGTGTGTATTATATAAACCAAAAATACTAGCTGTTATCTATAAATATAATTGTATTATATTGTAATTGTCATGCTAAATATATTTGATTATAAATTGATCTGCATTTAAGTCATTCAAATTTAAATTAATATTTATCAATTTATAATGTAATTCAAACTCAAATTTAAATCTAAATTCACTTTAATAATACATGTTTCTTCATAAATGACATCGGTATTAAATCAAAAATAGGACTAAAAAAAATTATAATAATTACACTTTATTCAAAAATGAAACCGAGACATGACCATATGATTTTTTACTCGGTGCATTCAAGTCGCTCATTCAATCTATACTTGAAATATATTCAAACTCAAAATATAAACTTTTTAGTTTGTATCAATATATGCTCCATTGATATTAGTGGAAACTAATTCATTTTAAAATGTAGAGATCACTTTAACAGATTTTATCTCTTTTAATAAAATTATCTTTATATATTTTATTAGAGATCAAATTCTTATTAATGTGCTTAAACAACTCAACTATATCCTTATTTAATCACGATTCTTGATTATCGTAATTATTAATTTTTCATTAGTATCATTAAATATTTCTTTTTAAAAAAATGTAGTATTATTGAATATTATTATTTAAGAACTAGGTGCTTAAAACTTTGAATAGATATTCCTGAAATCTTTTGGACTGAGAAACCAGTCTCGTTATTTTAAGATCAGAATACATTGATATCCTTTTGATTGCTAATTACACATTTATGATCGGACTACCAGTAAAAGACTTAATCACGATGAGGTCTTTAAGTTCAAATTTAATAATATACCTCCGTCTTTAATTATAGAATCATTTTAACTCAATAATACTCTTTTAAAAAATTAATTAATTAATAAGCAAAAATTAAGATATAGTATTTTAATTCTGTAAAGGAAAAGGTCCAAATAAAATATGTAAACCGTCTTTTTATTCCTTAATTAGTAGCAATGTCAACGAAATACAGGTCAATCTCAGGGAGGACAACTGTACAAGAGAAAAAACAAAACAAAACGACTTCCGTAATATTTTTCATAAAACCGGCACCGACGTGGCAATATCCTATTGCAATGTTCAACATCACGTCCCAATCAGAGAGCACCACGTGTATGGCCACAATTTTTTCACTAACACCAAACAAATCTGGAGGAAAAAAAAAAAAAAAAGGGAATCAAATCACGCTCTCACCAAGCAAAGCAGTATAGTAACTGACAGACACACGCAGTCATCACGCGTAAGGAAAAACGACCTTACTTATCATTTTTCATTTTCTTTATCTTTTCAATTTATTTATCCACACGCATTAAACATTACCAAATAAATAGCCTTTCGGTCCAGGTTCAAGCGTTCAACAATTAACAACAAAGCCAACTCATAAACTTCAACGCCGTTGTTTCCTGAAACTTCTCAAAACATCAACAAAACCACCCCAATTACGTTTCCACTAACCAAAAAGGAAAGCATAAATCATCAATTACGGTGCGGTGAAGGCAATGCCGGAGACCGAAAACGCGGCGGAGAGCGGCGCCCTGTTCGGAAAATACGAGGTGGGGAGACTCCTAGGATGCGGGGCGTTCGCGAAGGTGTACCACGCGCGGAACACGGAAACGGGGCAGAGCGTGGCTGTGAAAGTGATAAGCAAGAAGAAACTAAACTCCTCGGGTTTGGCCTCCAACGTGAAGCGCGAGATCTCAATCATGAGCCGCCTCCGCCACCCCAACATCGTCAAACTCCACGAAGTGTTGGCCACCAAAACCAAAATCTACTTCGTCTTGGAGTTCGCCAAAGGCGGCGAGCTTTTTGCCAGAATCGCCAAGGGCCGCTTCGGGGAGAATCTCGCCAGGCGCTATTTTCAGCAGCTTATCTCCGCCGTGGGTTACTGCCACGCGCGCGGGGTTTTCCACCGCGACCTGAAGCCGGAGAATCTCCTCGTGGACGAGAGCGGGAACCTTAAAGTCTCCGACTTTGGGCTGAGCGCGGTGAAGGAGCAAGTGGGGGTGGATGGGTTGCTGCACACGCTTTGCGGGACCCCTGCTTACGTGGCGCCGGAGATTTTAGGGAAGAAGGGTTACGATGGGGCCAAGGTTGATGTTTGGTCGTGTGGGATTATTCTCTTTGTGCTTGTCGCTGGCTACCTTCCGTTTAACGACCCCAATTTGATGGTCCTGTATAGGAAGATTTACAAAGGGGAGTTTCGGTGTCCGAGGTGGTTTTCGGTGGAGTTAAGGATGCTATTGGCCAAGTTGTTGGACACGAATCCCGAGACGAGGGTAACCGTGGATGGGATCATGAAGGACTCGTGGTTTAAGAAGGGGTATAAGGAGGTTAAGTCTGAGGATTCGAGTGTGAAGAGGGATGCGGGTGAGGGAGAAAGTGAAAGTGAAAGGGTGAAGGATTTGAATGCGTTTGATATTATTTTGTTTTCTTCCGGGTTGAATCTCTCGGGTTTGTTTGATTCTTCTTCGTGTGGGGAAGAGGGGGAGAGGTTTCTGCTTAGGGAGGCGCCGGAGAAGGTGGTGGAGACGGTGGCGGCGGCGGCGGCCGCGGAGGGGGTTGTTGTGCGGCGGAGGAAGGAGTTCGGGGTGGAGTTGGAGGGGTGTGGGGGTAATTTCGCGGCTTTGGTGGAGGTTTACCGGTTACCGGGGGAGCTGGTGGTGGTGGAGGTGAAGAGGAGCGATGGGGACGGTGCGGTTTTTAGGGATGTGTGGAGGAATAAGCTGAGGCCCTATCTTTGTGCTGCGAGTAGCAGTACGACGTCGGATCGGGAGGGGACTGGGGCGCAGCCGGTTGCCGGTTCATCATGATTTTTTTATTGGTTAAATTGAAATAAAATTGAAAAGATACGGGAAGTGAAAATTGAAAGGTGTTGTGGGACACATGTGTCAGGACTGAGGATGCTACCTCATATTGTATATTTTTATTATGCTTATATGTAAAGTATACTATTCAAGTTTCGGTTTATTTTTCTAAATTATTATCTTTTTTGCAGTTTTTTTTTCTTCTTTAAGATTTTTTGAAAATATTTTTTTTCAAATGAGTTCATTCGCTCTGATTTTGCTCATGGTGGAAAGCAAGAACTACAATGGTTATAAATTCTACACAAAATTGCATTTGCAGATTATTGTTCTCTTGGACTGTTTTTGGGTTTAAAAAGATCTAATAGGGTGTTTGAAAGACTTGATTTGTGTGTAATTTATTAGAAAAATTTTTAACTTCTATTTTCAGTTTTGTAATTAAATTTAAACAAAAACATTTTTAATCTTTCTAAAGTAAAACAGTTTTGGTTTTGATTTTTATAAAATTATTAAATTTTGGTTTTAATCTTCGTAAAACAATTTCTTTTATTTTCATTCTTTTATAATTTGAAACCATTATTTTATATTTTTCAATGTTTATTTTAAGATAAATAAATAATAAAATTTATTTCACCCCATATTAAAAAAGACCTAGATGAAGACTGGGACTCACATATTAAGTGAAACTTACTTAAATTTTACTCCATGATAAAGAATGTATGCAAAAATAAATAAATAAACATTGGACTGTGTATAGTACTATCATTTTTTTAATAAAAGATATCAATGTATTTTATTTTATTGAGGGAAAATAAAAAGAAAAAATTAAATTAAGTTGACTTTTTTAATTTTATTTTTAGAACAATTAAATTAACTTCTGACAATAAAAAATTTTAAATTTTCTTTCTTTACACTCTCTTTTTAAATATTGGAGTGTGTGGTACTACCATTTAAACGTTGTACTTTATTTTTCTCCCATAAAAAACATATCATAAAATATTCATTCATTCATTCTCAATTTCAAAAGCCACAAAATAAAATTTTGGAAAATAAACTTTGGATATATTTATTACTATATTATACAAATGAAGTACATCTATTAGTTTTAAACCAATGACTATTTTTGATCAAAAGATTTGACTAACTACCTTTATTTAATAATGTACCATCAAATTTTAGGCCTGAATCATATGTTAATTATGTTTTCATTGTTCTGTATTTAAGCCTTATTTGCCTACTTGACTCGAGTATAGAGAGTTTTATATCCTACTAATTTTAAGTTGAGCTATACACGTGTTAGATTTGCGATTCTAAATCGATTTATCACTAAATATTAGGCTTATTTTCTAATACCTTTTGAAACCTCGATCCGAGTACACTAGTTGTTATTTAAAAGATTTGGAAGTTAATCCACTAAGATGGATGACAACCTCACAAATTGAAATTTAAAACAACGAGGATCACAACCTCACAAATCATATCAATAGAATTTTATAATTATAGTAATAGAAACTCAAATAGTGTTACTTAAAGATGGTTTGATATAGATTTTTTCATCGGAAAATCTAATATACACCATGTGAAATAAAAGAGAGCGATTCTCCAGCTTCGTAATTAGGTTCAGCCACAATATTCAAAAGTTGGTGATATCTATTTATTGTCTTTAATAGCAAATGGACACGCTACAGTACTTTCATTGTCTCTGCCGTAGGATTTTCATTTCATTGATACAAGCTCAAGTAGTCCAAAATTGAAAGAGTGCACTAGATTTTTAAAACGATCTTCCCTATACATGTGCTTTGAGGTTGGGTTCACGGCAAAGAAAATGACTATACTTATGTGTTGGAAAAAAAATCCCCCTCACATACATGTATTAGACACATATAAACACAATACAAATATAAAATAAAGGCATGAATTTAATATAATTTGACACCTCTTGTTTATAATACAAGAACATCTTAATATATTTTCATTCCCTTAAATCATATTACAAGTTTTTTTTAACAAATTTGAAAAACATTTCTCATTACAAAAACTTCATTCCGATCATATAAGGTGATGTCAGTAACCCCCTCTTTCTCTCATAGATGATGATCTTTTTTCAATAATTACTACTCTATTCATTCATAACTTTATATATATATATATATA